GGTTTCATCAGCAGCTAAGGCCAGTGACGGCTAGTGACTGCGAATGCAGCTAGACCAACAAGATAAGACTCCAAGAGCAGCCCTTGCTGCCCCTGCTCGAGTCTCTCTCCCTCTCTCTGTGAGAGAACCTTCACAAACTTTCTTGACAACATGGGGCATCCGTCCACATGAGCCCCTGCCAAAATCATTGGTATCGCAGATTGAAGGATTTGTTCCACTTATCTATATGCGCGGCAAAGCAAGTATTTGCTCGCAATCCTGACAGGACATTGAACACCAGTTGGTAATTAAGAGAAATGGACAGCCATCCTCCTTATTTTGGAATTCCAGTACAATGATTGATGATGAAGCCCATGTCCCTTTTACAATCAGTAGGCAGCCATGACCGTTGCTCTTGGCTCGCATTTTGAAGAGTGCACCGGCAACTTTTCGTCCACTTTGCCTCCATCCCTGGCACGTTCTCTGTCACCAACCTGTCGAAAGAGCAAAGCTGCCACCAAGATACTTGAGCCGTGCACTTCACAGCTCGACAATATTTACATATTGTTAAACAAGCCGCCACGCAAGATCCGGGCAGCCTCTACGTCCAGGTCCAACACCGAGTTGCCATCAGCTGTGAGCGGCCTGCCAGCCAGACGCTTCTTGTCACTCAAAATACGGGACCGCAAAAGATGCGCGGTACTTTTGGCTTGCCCTTTGACATGATCAGGCAGGGTTGCTCGAGTGAACCTCGAAACAAGCCAAGCGTCCGCCTGCAAGCCCCCAAACCCCGCCTCCGAAACTGTGATAGCGAACCCCGGCCACCCACCTGCCAGAACAGGGCTATGGTCGGCGCCCATGAAGCAAACGGGTATCACATGGAACCAATGTTGGTTCCGGAAGGGCAATCAAGGTTGCTCCGTCAGAATTATCATGAGGCAGACGGTGTTCCTGTCGAAACCAATGCTATCAGCTTTGCTCAACAAGAATGGAGCAGCAATTAAAACCCAGCAGGGCCTGGCTCTGCCAACCGATTTACGGAGGCTTGTACAGGCCCTCTGTATACGTGCTACCAGGGAGTACAATCAAATGGATCGGCAGGAACCGATTTTGGACGCTGCGCAGCTGGATTGCGATGCCAACTCGAGTTGCATGAATAATGCCGCGGTTGCCACCCCTCCGAAAGGCAATACCTTGAACATCTGATGTTTCCACCACCACCCCCCCAAGACGCTACCCCTGAGGAAAAAACAATAGCCAAGGGATTAGTGATGAAACAAACCACTGCTGGTCTGGGTGCTCCCACCCCCCAAATGTATCCAAATTCTGCTCCCTCCAACACGCGTGTTGGAGTCTGGCTAATTCAGCCGATACAAGTGAGCGCCTCCATGCTGGACAGTCAGCTCAGTCCATGGCGGGTGCACGACGTGCTCCCATGTTGTCCACTTCTTTGATGCTAGCATGAAACCTAACTGTCCAGTAGCTCCATTACCTGCTGTTTTTCAAACCACTGGGACCATTCTGGCCAAACATGTGGAAGCAGCAAATGTACACCTTCTTAGTATCTTCACGGAATATGCAAAGAACTCTCAAGAAAAACTCGGGAGACTCTTTGAGATTGCAACGAGGTGATGTATTTCTTGCACATGTCAATCTGCCGATGAGCTAAGTAGCAGCTTAGCAGGTTTGTGAGCAACAGGAAACTCCAGGAGATTGCTGACCTTCACGGCGATCCCTTCAAACGAAGCAGCTTTTCCACTGAATGCCTTGCTTGCTACACACTTTGCGGCAAGTGACTAAATTGAGGGTGTGCCTTGCGCTAACAGTGGGCAAAGGGGCCAAATGGCTTGCCGAACGCACCTACTGAATCTACTTGATCTTGTCTGGGCTGCACCCCCCGGTGCAAGGATCAACCTTCACTAGCCGGAGGGTCACTGGGCGGAACTGGAGCAGGTTCAGTCGGTGCTGGTGCAGTGGGCAAAGGTACTGCAATCAACTTCGCCTGGCACATTCCAATTTCGCAACACGAGCTGGTACGCCTGCTTCAAGTGATGGCCCATCTAACAACCCTGACACCTTCAATGATGATGTGGCCATGGGTCAAAATCCCGTACCCCCAGTGAACATCCCAATCCCCACTAAAGTAGACTAAAACGGGTGGTGCCCCTACCCCAACATGGTACCATTGGTTTTGACCCACAGCCATGTGCCGTCGTGTATCCAAGCATGCCGGGAGGGCGACATTATTTCTTTCTTCCGTGCGTTGCAGCACAGTTGTCTCTTCCAGGGATGGCGGCTGAACGAACTCAGGTGTCCCAAGATTGGCAGAATCAAATCATACTAATCTCACAGCAAGGCATTGCGTACTGCTTCACGACATGCCTACAAGGCCCGGGCTCCACTGAGGGCCAGAACAATGACGAAGCCAATGGACTGGCGAATCGTGGAGTTGCAAACTTGTTACAAAGGCGTGCATCAACCTTACGCAAATATCAAGAGACGGCCAGCGCCACAGGTGAAACAGGCCAGTCCGCACAATGGCGATGGCCACAGTAACATTGGCAAAGTCTGGCATTGCCACCGGCGTGTTGTTCACCTTCATTCCAGGCTCACAGTGTGGCTCGGTGCTTGACATGCGGCAAGCACCCAGAATCCTTTGCGAGAACATCCTGAACGACCTGAAAGCGCCCCTGCATGCCACTCTACCTATAGCAATAAACAATTCCCGCAATGTGTCTACCACACCTTGGTGCGATGTTGCAGCTGAAGCGGGAGAAGCCATATGAACAACTACAGACTAGATTGGGGCGTGGGCTATGCAAAGCCAAAGTGAAGGGCAAAGGGTTGCCCATCCCAAGGTAGCAAATTCGAAGACCTGATTGATGCCTTTTTCAGGTGTTCAGCAGCAGGTTGTCTCTCTTCAGCCACCCTTCCAGAAAATGTAGCTGAAGTGAGGCAAAGATCCAGAATCTGTCCACAATGAAGGGCAGATCAAGCTGGCATGACATGCAGGCAAGGCCTTGTACTCAAAGTTGTTCATCCCACGAGCAAAGAAGGGCAGGAGCTGGCGGAACATGGCATTTTGTAACAGCTCAGCAAAACCAGTCTCGGATCAACCACATTGCCGAACAGCAATAGATTGTTGAGGGAAGTCTTGCATAACTTGCGCATGATTCACTCTCCCAGTTGTTGTATTCTGCGGCAAGCCTTGCCTTCTCCGACAGCTTGGGAATAGCCGTGTCGTTCTGACAGGTGAGAGCCAGCCGCAGGAACTTTCTCATTATGAGCTGTGACCTGCGTCCTGGGCAACCTAGCCTCACCGTGCATGGAAGAAACAATCCACCCATGCCTCGCTGAGGATGCGGTACATGTCAGCGGTCACCGAGTCATTGAAGCGATTCTTAAACTGCCGGCAGAATGGAATCCAGCAGGGGCTGATGACAAGGAACAGCAAAAACCGTGGATCCACCATAGGGTGCCGGTGGGCAGCGGTGTCAAACTTCAGCAAAGTCCAGATGATTCAAATCGTAGAAGAATCATGCGGAACCACAGCAGCTTTGTTAAATGATATCCACCTACTGGTTTCCACCAGCAACTCATTTGCGCCTCACACACACACACACACACACACGCATGCACACACACGCATGCACACGGCCACACCTCTCTCTCTTTCTCTCTCTCCCCTCTCTCTGGCCCTTGAAAACACGAATCGTTGCTAGAGCCCCTTGCACGGCGTGATGCCAGCACTTCCATTTAGTTGAACCCTTCAACGGTCATGAAACTATTGCTAGAGGCTTAAGCACCTTGAAGTCAGACCCAGGTGCACGCATCTTTTTAAGGGTAGCCTCTTTGGCGTTGTGTAAAACACAGAAGGGAAGCCACCAATTCAGGGTTCCAAAAGCCCGCAGGCGCCTCGTCCTCCCGCAGCTCCTGGGGCTTTTCCAGAAGCCTCGAGACTCAAGCGCCATGAAACTTGGCGTGTGACAACCGGTGGGAGCTACCCAAAAGAAACCGGCCGACAGAGTTTCCAAGAGGTCTCGCACCTCTGCTGGTCTAGTCGATCCACTCCAGCAGCGTCATACCCGCGCTTCAGGTCGGGAAGAACTCAGCTGCTTGCACTCCCGAGCGCTGAGAGAGAAGCTGCTACACTTGGCGCAGAGCCCTCACCAACCAGCGTATCCTCAGAGATTTGCAACTACAAAGCAAGAGTGTACGGCAAAGGTGGCAATGCAAGGCTCTGCAAATTGTCGCAACTGAGCTTGTGGCAATAATTTGACTCTGCTCTACTCGTCTCCAAAATGCGCTGAAGGTTTCAAAGGCCTCAAATCCTCAAGAGGTCAAACCAGTCCGGTGACTTGGCATTTGTCAAATGTCAAATGGGGATGCGAAACTAAGCTCGGCTCCCCTGCAAAGGTACAACAAAAATACAAGGCATGGTAAAGGCCGTACAGGGGCGTGCTGACTCTCAGCCTGCTGCATGGTCAGATGTTAACTGGAGGGACCGCAACAAAGTGCTACAAACAAAACAAACTAGTCATGATCAAACCAGGTATCAAACAGGTCTACCCAAAACCCACGGCAAAGAAACAAAAGGGAACTGCTTGTTGCATTCATTTCTGGTTGGAGACTGTCCCTGACTATCCTCCATCTACCCATTGAATTTGATTCAGGCTCGAATGCAGGAATCAGGGTTGTCCATATTTACATTCCTTAAAACCGACTTGTCCGAAGGGTGGCATTCAAGAATCAACCTTCTGATTAACATCATGATGTGGAACTTTGGAAAAATGCAGGGCAAGCGCATAGCCCTCGGCAAGTGCATAGCCCTCGGCCAGCGGTGCCCCGAGACGCCCGCGTTCTTCTTCGAGCTCCTTTGGCCAAATCCTGCAAAGCGAACATCAGCCCAAAAAGAGGCAACCAACTTTGGGCACTTGGAAGGGTCCCATGTCATTTTCGTTTAGATTTCAGGCGAAAGAGCCGCAGCGAGCCCTTCTTTTCCGCTTGCGCGCTTTCGGAGCTCACCCAGAGAGTGCCTGTGCAGGGCCATCTCTTTTTGCCATCTACTCGTTTGCTCTTGGTGCTTTTGCGACCCCTGCTACATGCCAGCTCAAGAGCCGCAAAAAAAGGAACATGAAACAGCGAGCCTTCTTGGACACGCCCTCCGTGGCCTTGACCTCCTCAATAACCATCGCCCTCCTTCGAAGGTATACGCGATGCCTAGGCCAAAGCAAAACCCGAGAGATTCGATGGGTGAAGTCAAGTGCTGGGCAATCCCACGCAAAGTGCTTGGCTTCCGACCATCTTTTGAACCACCATGAGATTGCTTTCCATTTCGGGAGGCGTCGGCTTTTGGTCTTGTGTCTGAGCCTTCAGCAAACTCACACACACACAGGTTACCACTACCCACCCACACACCCGCCCAGCACACACACACACACACCACTACCCACCCAGCACACACCAACAAAAGAAGAGTTGCAAGAGCAGTATGTTGAGCCAATGACCGTAAAATCTCGTCCAGATTCAACTCATCCAAAAGGCCAGCCTGCTCCTGGCATACTCACCGCATCAGGGGGCTCCAGCTCAAGCATCAAATTGTACAACGCTCAACCCCATACATGAACACAGCTATGGCTCGGTAAACAATGAATTTCGAATCATGCACACCAAAGCCATGCCGGCAGGGCATCGATATATGGAAAGTTGCCGCGCTTGCTAGCCTCTTCTCTGCCAGTGCGTCTCCTGGAATCCACCACAAAATGAGAACAACCTGTGCCTCTGACTGAGCAACAAGAACAATGGCCAACATCAACGGCGATAAGCAGTTATCACCAAAACCCAAAGCCTCCAAAGAGCTCAAACAGGAAGCCATATTTTGGTTGGCCCCCAAAGGACTCAAATCCAGGGGATCCTTTTTGGAATACATTACCCAACCCTGGGTCCAAGTCCCTTTAGGGGTAAGAAAGAAATGGAGCCCTGATCTCGAGAATCTCAAGCTTGGGCAGCCACCTGGCACCGATTTGGCCGCCGTCCCACACGATCTCCTGAAGTGTACATGACATGAAAAAACTCGGCAAGCCGCATCCCAGGCAAATCTGGCATGAACTGCAAGGAGGTGATTGTGCGTGGTCCGTTCAAGGAGTGCGCGGCAGTTACGCATCATCACAACAAGATCCAAGATTTTATCCGGTTTAAGAATCATTGTCCGTCATCTTACGAAAACATGCTGCTCCAAGTAAGTGGCTGCAAAAGGTGCCCAACTGCGGAGTGTTCCTCAAAGCAAGGATGCGCAAAACAAAACGGAGGATTCCGGGTGTTGTTGTTGTTCCTGCTGCTGCCACTCAGGTTGTTGTTGCTCTTGCTATTGTTGTTGCTGATGTTGTTGCGGCGGCGGTGGTGGTTGTTGTGGTTGTGGTTGTTGCGGTTGTTGTGGTTGTTGTTGGTGTTGTTGGCGTTGTTGGTGTTGTTGTTGGTGGTGGTGTTGTTGGTGTTCGTGTTGTTGTTGTCGTCGTTGCCGATGTCGTGACGTTGTGTTATGGCTGTCCTTGTCAAAGTTGCTAGTGTTGTTGCTGTTGGTGTTGGTGTTGGTGTTAGCGTTGGCGTTGGCGTTGGCGTTGCTGTTGTTGTGGTGGTGGTGGTGGTGGTGGTTGTTGTTCTGGTCGTTGTTGCGGTGGCTGTTATTGTTGTTGTTGTGGTTGTTGCGGTTGTGGTTGCGGTTGTGGTTGTTATTGTTGTTCTTGTGATTGTTGCTGTTGTTGTTGTGGTTGTTGCGGCTGTGGTCGTGGTTGTTGCGGCTGTTGTGGTTGTGGTGGTTGCGGCGGCGGTCGTTGCGGCGGTGGCGGTGGTTGTGGTTGTGGTTGGTTGCGGTTGTGGTTGTGCGTGGTTGCGGTTGTGCGGTTGTGGTTGCGCGGTTGTGGTTGCGCGGTTGTGGTTGTGTGGTTGCGGTTGTGTGGTTGCGGTTGTGCGGTTGTGGTTGTGCGGTTGTGGTTGTGTGGTTGTGGTTGTGTGGTTGTGTGGTTGTGGTGTGTGGTTGTGGTTGTGGTTGTGTGGTTGGGCGGTTGTGGTTGTGTGGTTGTGGTTGTGCGGTTGTGGTTGCGGTTGCGGTTGTGGTTGCGGTTGTCGTTGTCGTTGTTGTTGTTGTTGTTGGTTGTTATTGTTGTGGTTGTTGGTTGTTGGTTGTTGGTTGTCGGTTGTTGGTTGTTGGTTGTTGGTTGTTGGTTGTTCTTGTTCTTGTTTTTGTGTTTTTGTTGATTTTGTTGCTGCTGCTGCTGCTGCTGCTGGTTGTTGTTGTTGTTGTTGTTGTTGTTGTTGTTGTTGTTGTTGTTGTTGTTGTTGTTGTTGTTGTTGTTGTTGTTGTTGTTGTTGTTGTTGTTGTTGTTGTTGTTGTTGTTGTTGTTGTTGTTGTTGTTGTTGTTGTTGTTGTTGTTGTTGTGTTGTTGTTGTTGTTGTTGTTGTTGTTGTTGTTGTTGTTGTTGTTGTTGTTGTTGTTGTTGTTGTTGTTGTTGTTGTTGTTGTTGG